TAACAAAAAAAAAAAAAAAATTGTACGCGTCCGAGATTTACGTAAATTAATCGTATTAAATTTTATTTAATTTTTTCATTGGTCGGATCGTTGAGTCTTCGATAAAAACGAATTTTTTAAAAATCAAAAATCGTTTGTTTTTTAATTTTAATTATATTAATAATAATAATAATAATAAGGATTTAATTTATTAAAAATTCAAAAAAAAAGATTTAATAAATTAATTTCTTAATCGGAAAATCTTTCTTTTATTGACTTTATCATAAATCAATAATATTGATTTATTTAATTAACCGTCGTGTAAATCGTTTTAATTACGTAATTAAAAAAAACGTTTTATATTATTAATAACGCTAACGGAAAAAATTTATTTTTTTAAAACGAATTTAAGGATAATATAAATAATTATTAAAATTTAAAAAGAGAAAGAGAGAGAGAGAGAGAGAAAAAACTCACACTCACCGGCATTGTTTGACTACCGTGCAAATTATTAATGGCAGCTTGTGCTTCCTGATGAGAACTAAATTTGACAAAAGCGCAACCTGTAAACATAATAAAAAATAATAAATAAATAAATCTTTAATTAATTAATTAATTAATTAATTAGAAAACATACAATAACCACGTGATAATTTCTCAATAATTATTATTATTATTATTATTAATAAATAATAATTAGTTTGTCTTAATAAGCTATTGATTACACGTCAAACAAATATCAATTTTTCATATTATTTAAAAAATGTAATTAAAACCTTTTTAATTATATTTAAAAAAAAAAGTTTTCGTATACATAATAATAATAATAAATAAACAAATTCGAGGGAAAAAATTATATTATTATTATTATATGAAAGGTTAATTAAAAAAAAAAAAAAAAAAATTAAAAAATAACGGATGAAAGTTTGTGACTTGAGAAAACGTCGTTCTTCTATCTATCTATTATTATTATTATTATTATCATTTACGTTATAAATCACTCGCGCATTATTATTATTATTATTATTATTATTATTATTATTAATATAAAAATATAAGGATGTTATCGATTAATATGTTTTACACATGGAAAATCGGAATAATAATAATTCTCGTGAAAATTTGAATTTTTTCCAGTGGAAAATACATTTTCTAAACTCCCACTCGATCGTTAATAATGATAATAATAATGATGATGATGATAGTGATGATGATGATGATGATAATATTTTTTGAGATGGTTTTTTCGAAAAATTTGAAATTTAAAAAAAAAAACTCGAATAATATCTCGAATATTTCAAAATTCGAATTCGTAATTTTAATATATATATAAATAATTTATGGATCGTTAATAATAATAATAATAATGATGATGATAATGATAATAAAAAAAAAGAGTGTAATATAAAAAAAAAAAAATAAAAAGGTTAATAAAAAAAAAATGAAAATATTCGTTTTATTTTACGGTTTTTTGCGAAATGGGAATATCCGCGAGAATAATAAAATATGAATGAATGATAAAAAAACGTTGTTGGCAGTGTCGTAGCCTTGTAAATGCTCCACCTGTAGAACATTTTTCTCATTTCACCAATTATCTATATTTTTCTTACCTTTTACTCGAGAGCAACAAAAAAAAGAGGGGGGGAGATGAGGGGTGGTGGTGCAAGACGAAACCAGGGTAAAAAAAAAATTTTTTTTTTTTTTCTTAGGGCTTTAAAATAATCGTTTTCCCCCGAGTTTTACACATTTAATGAATTTCAAGATGTTTTTAAACGCAAGCAAAAAGAGTAAAATGAGAAGGAGGAGGAGGAGGAAGGGGAGGGCGATAGGGGGAAGAGGGGGAAGGAAATTTTTTTTTAAAAAAGGTTTTATTGATTTTCGCGTCGAAAAGAAAAAAAAACGAAAGGTTTCCTTTATGTTTAATTATAATCACGTTTAACGAATTTGTACACTGAACATATCATACCCCCCCCCCTACAACTATAAAGTTTTAATAATAATAATAATAATAATAATTTTTTTATAAAGTTCACGTATTAAAAATAAATTTGACGTTCGAATTGTTAAACTTTAATATGACCTTTTTTTTCGTATACGCCGAGGTCAATTTTTAAAAAGGAGACAAAAAGAGGGAAAAAAAAAAAATTTTTTTTCTTTTCTTTCGTCATCATCATCATCATCATCATCATCATCTTTTTTCAAATAAAATGTCTTTTTTTTTTTTTTTGTGGGTTTCACGATAAAAAAAAAATTTTCTTTCTTTTCTTTCTTTCTTTCTTTAAATTAGACGACGTTCTTTAACTTAATATCGCACTTTTCCAAAAAAAAAAAAAACTTTTCCTTCTTTTTTCTTTTAATAATGAAACCTAACAAAACGTTTTATATTTTCAAATTGTTTTTTTTTCTCTCTTTAAATTAAAATCAATTTTATTATTATTATTATTATTATTATTATTATTATTATTATTATTATTATTATTATTATTATTATTATTCGTAAAGATTTACGTCAAATTTTTATTTTTTATTATTATTATTATTATTATTCTTAATTCTTTTATTTAAAAGGGGGGAAGAATGGGAAGGGGGAGGAAAAGGGGCAAAAGAAAAAAAAACAATAATAATAATTAATTTTTAGAAAAATGATTTAGAAATTTTTTTTTTTTTTTTTCATTTAAAATTTTATAATAATAATAATAATTGCCAAATAATAATAATAATAATAATAAAGAGTTCAATAACCTTTTAAATAAAACTAAATAAATAAATTTTCAAGGATATGGAATAAATTTTCTTTTTTTTTTTAAAACAAAAATCGTGTTTTCAAATCGAATTTATCAATTATTTTTTGACTTTTTATAACTGATAAATTGCATTTAAATCACAAAATATGCGTTAGAAATAATACACGTGTGAATGAACGATTATTATTATTATTATTATTATTATTATTATTATTATTATTATTATTTACCAAATTCAAATTTTTAACTGTCAAAATAAATAAATTTTTTTTTTTAAATATATATATATGTATATTTGATCGATTGGGTGAATCCATTAAAAAAGAATTTAAAGTTTTTTTTGGGGTTTGGTAGGAGGGTGGCGGGGGATGATGGTACACGTGGTTGGGGGGAGAGTGGGAAAGGGCACACTAACCTTTACTTGCTCCTTCTGGTCCTCTTAATATAGTACACTCTTCTATAGCACCGAAAGGACCGAATAACTGTCTGACATCTTCTTCACTTTGTTGCTTACTTAGCATTCCCACAAAGAGCTTACGATCTGTAACAATCATATTATATATTAAATAAAACAAATATAAAAAATTTTCCCGCGTTTTTTCAAAAAAATATATATAGATATAACTCAACGAATTATAAACATTCATGTGAACAAATAATAAAAATTTAATTTTTTATTAATAATTATTAACCTATTTAAAAACAATTAAAGCCATTATAATTATTAATTATTATTATTATTATTATTATTATTGTTATTATTATTATTAATAATTTCATGCGTATAATTTAAAAAAAAAAAAAAAAAATTTAATGAGTTATAAAAACTATGCGAGATGGAGTTTTTCCGCTAAGAGTTTTTTTTTTTTTTGTCAATACGAGTATGAGAGGGGAGGAGGAGGAGGTGGGGAGAGAGTAAGAGAGACAGAAAAAAACAATATCGAGAGGACACATAAGCTTATTTTATCCTTTTTCCATCCACTTTGTTCAAAACCCCCTTCTCCCTCCTTTCCCCCTCCTCTCCTCCCATCCCCCTTTTTCTCCCCGACATTTTTTTTTTAACCGCCCCCTTTTCTCTCCCCCCAACGAATCGAAACAAAATCGATAAATTCTTGTTGTACCTTTTTTTTTTTTTTTTTTTTTTTTCGCTCGAAATACTTTTTCATTATTAAATTAAAACCCATTTAATGGAAGAGAAAGAATAGGAAAGGGAACCGAAAGGAGTTTTTTAAAGGGGACCGGGGGGTAAAAAGGAGAATGTAAAAAAAAAAAAAAATGTTGTAGTCGAGTGTTAAGAGTATGAGAGAAATATCAGGAGATATTGATAGGGAAAAACAAGAGAGGTTTAATTATAAAGGAATTTTCTTTTTGTTTTTTTTTTTTTTTTATTTTTTTTTAACGAAGTGTAGTATAGAGCAAAAAAAACCGGTAATTTTTTTTTTTTTTTTAATATACTTTATTAGGACCTATTATTATTATTTAAACGTTAATAAATAAATACTTACCGAAGAGTAATAATAATAATAATAATAATAATAATAATAAAATATACATTTATACTTATACAAATATATATATATATACATATAAGCAATACAAAGGCATATCGTATATTAATATAAATTAACGTAAACAAACAAAAAACGACGACGACGACGACAAACGACGACGACAAACACGACAATAATAAAAAAATTACTTTAATAAATAAATAAATAATATCTATGTATTTATGTATATATATATTTATGTATAAGCATAAGCATAAAATATTATTACGACATTTATAATAATAAAAAACGTGAAAGAACAAGTGATTTATTAAATTTTTTTTTTTTTAAATAATTATTTATATAAATAATAATATTAATAATAATAATATTAATAATAATAATAATAGAGTAAATAAATAAATAAATAAAAGTGTGGGTGTGGGTGTGTGTGTGTGCTTAATGTAAAAATTATACTTGTCAAACTACGTATTATCAATTAGCCGAAAAAAAACAAACCCCCCCCCCATTATTAATTAATGATTAGTGAATTTAATAAAAAATAAATCGATAAAATGATCGATGGATCGATATATCGATCGATAATTAAATTATTTTTTTTAATTATCCTGATAATATACCGAAACAAATTATTTTAATTTATAATCGTAATTGTTTTATTTGTTGTACTTTTGAGTACTACTTATAACGGTAAAGGTGAAGAGGTCAATTGAAAGGAGGATCGGTAGGAAATGAAGCGGGAGGCGGGGCGGGAGGCGGGGCGAGAGGCGGGAGGTGGGTGGAGAAAGGAAAAAAAATATCATTGATTTTTAATATCTGTAATATACGTCTTCATCAGTTTTTTTTATTTCCGAGATTCGATTATATGAAATAAAATTTTTTTAAATAAAATCATTGATTTGTTATTAATAAATTTAAATTTAATAATAATTTATTTATTAAATAGGATTCGAGTGAGTGAAATTACATAGAAATGTTTAAAAATAAAAAATTTTCAATAAGAGTGAAACGATGAGATTAAATAATAATAATAATATTACGTAATAAATTTTATTCGTAACTTGATTTTTTTTATGTAAAGTAATAAATAAATTAATAAATGCGCGTACATAAGTAAATTTTATTTTTTTTATTTGAAAATAATAAATTGATTTATTTATTTAATAATTCCAATATTATTTATCATCGATAATAAAAAATAAATAAATAAATAAAAATCGGTCGAATAAAAAAAATTAAAATTTATTATATTAACTTTTTTTTTTTTTTTTTGTTATCATACTCCGCCAAAAAATGATGAGAAATGAATGAATGAATGAATGAATGATTGAATGAATTAATTTTCGAATTATTAAATTTCATTAGGTTGCAATCTTGCAAGAATAATAATAAATTACTAGTCGAATCGAATTTTATTTTTATTTTTTCTAATTCCACTTCATTCGAATTCTTTTCTTTTTTTTTCAACCCTTTCCTCTTTATTACCACTACTTCCACGTTTTTTAACGATAATAATAATAATAATAATAATAATTTTTTTTTCCCCTGAGTAATTTATTTACGATCACGCGTTTATTTATTTACGTTTAAAAAAAAAAAAAAAATAATATTATTAAGCTTACCATATTTACGTTAAAAAAAAAAAAAAAAAACAGAAAACAAAAACCTGAAATTAATATTTAAAATGCAATAAATAAATAAATATTAATATTATTATTATTAAGCAATAAATATTATTAATAATAAATAAATAAATAAAAAAGATGCTTTAAAACTCGCATTTTTTTTGTTAAAATAATAATAATAATAGTAATAGCGATTATTTAACGCATCTTTTTGTAACGCACGTATTATTTTAGTAACAATAATAATAATAATAATAATTATAATAATAATAATAATAATAATAATAATAAAAACACCATATAAATAAATACATTAAAAAAAAAAAAAAACGAAAAAAATAATAATAAGTTGACCACTACAGAACGACAACACCGCTAGGCACGAACGACATCTTAATGGGTAAAACATTGTGAGCGGGGGGGGGGTGATGGTGATGGTGGTGGTGGTGGTAGTGGTAGGGTCGAGGTTGAAGAGAAAGAGATAGATAGATAGATAGAGAAAAAAAGAGGGGTGAGGTGAGGTGAGGGGATAAAAATCCTACAAGAGCAAATTATAAATGAAAATGAACCTACTGAATGCCAACCAAATGTGACTATATATAAATGTATATACGGGTTTGCTTAAAATAAAAGGATCAAAAAAATGGAAAAATAAGATAAATGAAAAAAAAAAAAAGAAAGAAAAAAGGAAAAAAAAAATGAAACAAAAGGGGAAAAATTAAAAATAATAATAATAATAATTTTTTTTTTTTTTTTTAAAAAAGTCTTTCCTTTGAGTCAATGGAAAATTTTAATTATTAATAATTAAATTTTTCATTTTTTTTTTTTTTGTTAAATACATCTCAAGCAATGTTTAGACTTGTTTATTTAAATAAAAATTAAAAATATTAATAATAATAATAATAATAAAAAGATGAGGATGATGTTTTTGATGACGTCATCAAAAATAAATAAATTATTATTATGCAAATAAAAAAAATGGAGTTATTATGTAAAAAATAATAATAATAATTTAAAGCAAAAAAAAAAAAAAAATGTAATTTTAACATAAAAAACAAGGCTAAACATTTTTTTTTATTACGGTAATAAAATAATAATTATTATTATTATGATGATGAGAATAATAATAATAAATTTTATTATTATTATTATTAAAAATTTAAATCGCTTTAATTTATTAGTTGATTAATAATAATAATTAGTCAAAAAAAAATTATTAATAATAAGAAAATTAGGGTAAGAAGAGAAAAAGAAAAAAAAGATAAAGAAATAATGACGGTTATGATGATGATGATGATGATGATAATAATAATAAAGAGGGGCATCTAACATGGTTTTTTTTTATTATGGAGTTACCTGAGCGGGCCCCCTATGAGGTCGTTTCACCCAGAAATGGACTCTCCAGTCCAGCTCCTCATTTCTCGCTCTGTAATTAATAAAATAATTTGCAAAAAAAATTTCCAATACAAAAAAATAATAACAATAACAATGATAATAATAATAATAATAATAATTACATTTTATTTATTTATTTATGTATATATATATATATATATATATAAACAATATACAAATCGTATACGCGATATATTATAGTAAAAATTTGGTGAAATTAAATATTATAATACAAAACGAAAATCGTGACGTAAATAAATATTATTATTTTATGTACATAAATAATCGTTTATTAAAAAGAAGACGGGGAAGGGGGAGGGGGAAGAAGAGAGGGGAAAAGATAAATAAATAAATAAAAAATTAACCGAAAAAGGAAAAGAAAAAAAGGAAAAAAGGAAAAATCGGTTGTTTTTGTAAACAAAATTAATTAATTTTTTTTATTTTATTTTTTTATTTTTTATTCTTTCAATAAATAAATTAAACAATGTTTATGCATCGATTGATTTATTAAAAAATAAAATAACAATTTTAATTAGCTGAATGTTTTATGTTTTGCTGTTGCTGTTGTTGTTGTTTGTCGTTTGTTATTATCATTATTTTTTTTTTTATAAAATTCAATTAAGTTTATTTTATTTTTTAATTTTTGTTTTTTTTATTTTATTATTTATTTACTTTTAAAGAATTTTTTTTATTTTTGATTCGACTTCGGAAGCCATTTTATTTTTCGTTTGTTTGTTTGTTTGTTTGTTTGTATCGATTAAATATAAAATAAATGATGTGTGTGTGCGTGCGTGGGAGTTTGTTGACGCATGTCCTTTTTGCAATTGATAAAAAATATTTAAAAAAAAAAAATGAATAAAATTTCAGGTATTCCCTGCATCTTTGTTTGTTTTTTTTTTTTTTTATAATGTTGGCAAAACTTGTTTTTTTTTTTTGAATGTTTCGTCAATGAGTAAAAAAAAAATTTGTTTAATTTTATCAAATAATAATAATAATACGAAATTAAAAATTAAAACTTTATAAATTATTTATTTATTTATACTTATGATAAAAATTAATTATTATTATTATTTTAATTTAAATATCATAAGGAAACAAACAAACAAACAAAACAAA